TTTGCAAACTTAAATCCGACCTATCTATACATTACTCTGGTGTTATGAATTATACTGTATAGTACTGTACATCTATTTTTAAAATATTTTTTGAACAAATTTTAAAGGTGAATACTATTTGTAAATTATTATCCAAAGCATAGTAAGGGCTAGAGATCCAATCCATTGAATAAAATATCCAGATATTCAGTGAATATCTGAATATTCAGATATACTGTATCAGGTATATAGTTGTTTTACCAAAATGAATATTTTAGATCAATTAATATTAACTGATAAGCTTAGAAAAATTATATATGTAACAATTTATCTTTTTAAAAAAATTTTGTATATAGTTAAGTGAGGCCATACAAATTTAATGTCTTGGTTTTCATGAGATTTTTAAATAGGCGTGAAATTTGAATTTAGTTTTATGTTCACACCAGAATATCTATAAATTTTTTACATTCTCACATAAGTGTAACTTAAAGTTTTTATGTTCTCAGAGAACATCGGGAACATTGAATTTCACACGGCCAGTGACTTTTTCATTAGATATTTTAAAAGGCCCACCGGTTATTACATATGTAGCTCAAGGATCAGCTCGGATATCACGAGACCTACAAATTTTTGCGCCATGACAGTTGACATTTAGTCTTAGTCTATCGGTTTTTCACTTGGCAACATTTTCGATTTTTTCAACATGGAAAAATGGTTTCGACTACCAACTATAGCCCGACCTACTATCTTTCTTAGGGCTTCAGCTTTCGGCAGGGTTTCGTTATATCGTCGTTTGTCATTACGTAAAATAGTTTCTCACAACTACAAACAAGATCACGGCATTATTCAAAAAAGCAATTCCAAATGAAACGACCTACTTTGAAACATTAGGAGTAGGTGATGATTCGTGAGTAACTTTATACATTCAATTGTGTTATTTGTAAATTTATATATAACTTATTCTACTCTCATTTTGTTAAAACCATTTTAGCAAAGTACCAGCATTTGATATCGATTTAGGTCAATTACGTAGTAATTATTTGAAGCTTCAGCAACATGCTCATCCTGATAGGTATGGTAAAAAGGACGAAGCAAGTATCATTATCAAATTATATAACAAATTTTACTTTTTCTCTTCATTAAGTCTTTACAAAAAGATATCAATGTTCGTCTTCAATAGTCATGTTAGTTGATAACAACCATTTTGTAGCAAGAATA